AACCCCTGTAATGTAATACTTTGGGTGTAAGTGTTGCTTGCTATATATCCTGGCATGCATATTGGTTGAGCAACGAAAGTGAGCATGTGCCATGCACTACCAGTGTGGAGTTACAGAATTGCCAGCAGTGGCATTGCTGTGGAAAAATGCTTGCTGTCATGGCAGGGTTGTCGTCAGTGCACGGCAGTGGTTTCTCACATGCATTCTGCTTCATGCACTGCCTCACACTAGTCAGGAAGGAGTTCATCTTGAAAGTGAAGATTGTTTTCATAACAACCAGAAATATCTGCAGCCCCTTCTGCCTGTCTTCAGTTGCACATATGCATTTCCAAGAGCTTCCGACAAAGAACCAACTGCCCTGCCAGCAGATGCAGATGGAGATGGTGAAGTGGTGGAATTGCATGATTCATATGCTGGGTAGCCAGGTAATATTTTTAACTATGCTGCTTCACGCAGACCCAAGAAGACAGCAAGCTGCAATTTGCCCACTCGTAAGGATATTGTGTGACATCCTTACTTCTGGAGCTATGTGATATCTCAGACTTAGTCACTGGGATGATACCTACATTACCCAGGTGATACTACTGTTCTGATTCTTGGGGGGAGGGGCCCTCATCTCTATGGTCCAGTAGTATGAGCAAGTTAGTTTATTATATTGTATAAGTAGAGCAGCACTTTAGTCAAACTAGCTCACCAAAATCTCCTTCCCATCTAGTCTTTCCGTTCTCTTATAGCAGTAAACAGTTACGGGCATTAGCCCAGCCACTGAATATCAAATGATCCTAGCTGTTCTACTTGGCTAAGTTGAAGTCTGGGAGACTGACTTCTAGAACTGGGCAATGTAACATGGAGACAGAGCTGCCGCCTTGACCTGGGAAGATGTAAGCTTAGAAAAAGTATTCAGGTTTATTTATTTATCAACCCTTTTCAATGCTACCATAGTATAGATAAAATTCCTAAAAGAATGTATCAAACAAGCTGAGAAATATTATGACGAAACAGTCTCTTCATGGGCAAAGCAGAGCCCTCAGAGATTAACTAATAGGTACTTCCCATATAATTAGTGTTTACTTTATTAATGAGTCAAGATTTAAATAACCACACTCATTTCTATTCGGCACAGTATGCTGGACAGTTAAAGCATGTACTATATGAACTATTAACATATCTTTCTGAATTCCTTTATGGCCCTAATCTGTGTGTGTGTATGTGTGTGTAAAACTTTATAACACATTGATGTAATACATTTTTAAAGTATTTTTTATTTCTTAAGCCTCTGACTAGCTGACAACAATATGAAATTTGGTATAGGGAACATCTTTGACAACACCCATCTAGATTGTTGTCCACTTGTTTCATGTAAATATACTCAAAACCACATTTTAAAAAAATATAAATGAGAGCAAAGCTGTAAAATAATGTTAATGCCAGAAGTGAACATTACTAAGGAGGTAGGATTGTGTTTTTCGGTTTTCATCTCTCTCTTTAAGGAGAAAAATAGTCTAGTTGAAAATTACATAATTATGTTTCTTTTACCTAAGGCAAGTTCTGCCAGTGAACCATCATCAAAGGTTTGCATTTAAGCAGGAAACCAGCATTTCTGGCTGGAAAGAAAGACAGCATTATCTCTAGTTTGTTTACTTTAAGCTGTAACAGTAAAACTTTAGCACGAACATGGGAGTTTGTCTCTACATAGCTTAGGAAGAGAGACCAAGCAAGAGATGAAGTGAATATGTTAGATATGGGTGTGCATATCTTCATGCCTGGCGTAGAAGATTTAGTATACATCACTGAGCAAAGCTGTGAGATGTTATCTTAATGCCAATACATCAGCATGTTTTCCTTGGCTGAAAATTGACCATCCTTTCTGAATGCCAACTCAGTTATCAGAATAGGAGACCCAAAACTATCTCTCAGAGAGAGGGGCGGGGGAGAGAGAGAGCACATGATTGGTAAGAGAGGGTATGTTGGAATGCACTTTGTGCTGAACTATATGTAAGAGAGGTAGAATGCTGTTACAGTACAGTACTTTCCTTTGGGAATTTCCTGTGGAACAACATTGACCAGATAACTAACTAAATAGATATTAGTGAGAGAGAGAGAATCCAAGGGATATTTATCCTCAACTTAAACAGGTCCAATAATATTTGGAAGAGTTAATCATATTACTGTATGTATAACTACTGCAATCAACAGGTTAAACCCTTGTTACTGGAGCCATCTGGAAAATAAATTCTCTCTCAAAGAAATTGCTGCTCCACTCTGCATGCTGTTACAAGTTAAGCTTGTATAAAGCAAAGGGTGAAGAGACTTGAAAGATTATCTTGCCGTGCAAATTTGAAATACACATGATTTCATCACAGGCACTTTCTATAAGTAAAACATATAGAACAGTGATTCTCAAACTTTTTTACTGGTGATCCCTTTCACATAGCAAGCCTCTGAATGTTCCCCCTGCTCCTATCAATTACAATACTTTTTTAGATATTTAACACCACTATAAATGCAGGATGCAAAGTGGGGTTTGGGGTGGAGGCTGACAGCTCGCGACTCCCCATGTAAGAGCCTTGTGACCCCCTGAGGGGTCCCAACCCCCAGTTTGAGAGCCCCTGATATGGAAGCTTATAGAAGTTAAATATTACTAGACATTCCCAAATAATTTACCTTTGTATTGTTAGTACAGTTCTGTCTTCATGTGTATTGGGGTTGATATTGATGGGAAAAGTCACATTGACTTCAAAGGGCTTTGGAGCAAGCCCTCTATGTAAATTGCATAGGTCTATAAGGAAGGTTGGCCAGCAGAATGTTTTGCCAGGTTTATAACCCACTTGAAAACTGGGTTCTAGAATTAAACCCCAGAAATCATAGAATGTCAGGAGGTCAGCTAGTCCAACCCCCTGCTCAAAGCAGGACCAGTCCCCAGGCAGATTTTTGCCCCAAATCCCTAAATGGCCCCCCTCAAGGATTGAACTCACAACCCTAGGTGCAGCAGGCCAATACTCAAACCACTGAGCTATCCCTCCCCTCTTCTAAGTTCTGTTTAGGTTTGGCAAAAAGTGAGAGATGGATTTGTGTTCCTTTTCAAAATGTTAATTCCCTAGTTCGTAGAAGCAGAGCAAGCATTATCTTCCAACATGAATCTTTGGTGACAGGCTTCCTTTTAGTTAGAAAGACTTTGTTATATTTCCTTTGAAAAACAATAGTTGAAATGAAGGGAAAGGGAGTATAACTAACATTAATAGGATGAAATTAAGAAAGGGAAAACATGTTGAATATCAGGAAAAACATCCTGACAGTGAGATCTATTAGACAACTGAATAGTCTCTCGAAGGAAGTGCAGGAAGCCACATTGCTTGAGACATTTTAACACTACACTGGACAAAGCACAAGAAAATATATCATAGGAACTAATCTGGCATAGACAAAGGAAAAAGGCTAGCTGGCCCAACAGACCCTTTCTGTCTCTGATTTCTAGAGAAGTTAAAAAGTAGCAGAGGCTTAGCGAAGCCTTAAAACACCACCAGATCTTCAAACCCTTCTGAAGCAGTTTAACCAGGTGCTCTGTTCTGGTATGTAGACAGATGTGATATGGATTCTATTGAATATGTACAGTTTTTAGGCACTGACACTCACACCAGTAGATTCTAGACCAAAATGTAAAGCTGACAAGGCAAATTCCCTGAGATAATAAATCAAACTGTAAAGACAAATTTGGGAAATTTAATCCCTGTAACCAGGGCCGGCTCCAGCTTTTTTGCCGCCCCAAGCGGCGAAGAAAAAAAATCGATTGAGCTGTCGCTGAATTGCTGCCAAAGAGGAAGTGAGGGACCCACCGCCAAATTGTCGCCTAAGACCCGGACGTGCTGCTCCAACAACGGATGGACTGTCGCCCCTTTCTATTGGCCGCCCCAGGCACCTGCTTCCTTCGCTGGTGCCTGGAGCCGGCCCAGCCTGTAACTTTGAAAATGACCTTAATGTGGCTATAACTCAAAAGAATGTCGGAGCCACCAATCCCTACCTGTACAGCTCATTTGGGGCTAACAGACCATGTCCCCACTGCCTGTTGTCGTGTTTAAAACCTAACTGTGGGAGAGAATGGGCCAAATTCTGATCCACCAGCATAAATGGTGAGACCAGAATTTGCCCAGGGCATCTACTGCATAAACATACTTATCTGGTTATTAATGCTGTAGTTACCAAAATGTAATGTGCATGCATTGATCTGGCACTAACGAATCCATTGCAATTCTTCAGACAATTATAGCTCGGTGCTAGAGTCTCAGTTTTACTGGGACATTTGCTTGAAGTTCACAGTTGGCTGGTCTTTTTTTTTTTTAATTGGTTGACGGAGTGCTCTTTGATGGGTGGATGTGTGCGATAAATCCTATTAAATATGAGGTGGATTCCTTACTTTAAGAAACCTCCCATAAAATTATGCCATTAAAATATTATTTTCATTAACATAAAATATGCATTTTGAGAAACATCTTTTTCCTCCTGACTTACAATAGTTAAGGGCTCTTTGAAGACCATCGTGATGTATTTTATTTTTCATCAACAAACTGTTCCTTGCATCTTTTAAATACCATTTGCCAGAAATAAAGCATATGTTTAGCACTCAGGAAACGCTTTAGAGGATTAAAAATCACAGTGTGAAGAGGAAAATGATATCCTAAACCTCCCCTGCACTCAGACAAGCAGACAGCCACATCATGTGTAGCTGAATCAGACTTTAGGAACTGCTTGCACAAACTATGGAAATGTCTGGCAAGATAAAATGTACCCTGAGCTGGAAGAAAATGAGTCAGTGGTCACATGATGTTCCATGGCCAGAACTTTAAAACAAACTTTCAGAAACTCATTCAACATATGTTGATGAACACACAGATGAAAGCGTGTATTGTACAGATGGGAATTCCAGTGTCTTGCTCAGGGACTTTAGAACTTATGAAAGAAAGCATTTATAGTGTAATTTGTAGGACAAACACCAAAAAAATCACCTTCTTCAGACTGGTATAGTAGTTATGAAAGCCTTGTTTTCCCGAACATACTGAAGTATTCACACGTACACATATGGTATTCGAGCTTAACTCATCTGTCCCTTGGTGCATTCTTCATCACTGAAAGAGAAAAACAAAGCAGAAGAAAATGGAAAAGGCTGCTGCTGAAAGAAAAGCCCCATTTTATTCAGTCTTATGCATGAAAAAGAAAAGAATGATCAAGATCTTTCTCCAGGTTAGTTCTCGCATGCCTTGTGGATTTGAACTCCACTAGGAACGTTTTACTGAGTTTTACAGACTACAGAATCATTGGGTATTTAAAAAAAAAATACATCCAAAGGATGGAAGAAAGTAATTTCTCTTTTCAAACTGGCTGTTTTTTTTGTTTGTTTGTTAAAGTTGTTATAGAAAACTTTGCTTTGGCTCAACTGGATGATTAAACAATGTGACGTAATATCCAAATTAGAATGCCCAAAGATATAGGATAAGGATTTTGAAGAGGCCTAAGAAAGTAAGGTGCCATCGTCCACTGACTTTCAGTGAGATGTGGACATTTTACCCCCCCTCAACCCTTTGAAAATCCCAACCTTAAAGATGTGCAAAATTTGGTGCATTTTGTTCGCAGGTATTCATGCAAATGTTTGTTTATTTTGGTTTGGATGGGTTTGCACCTCTCAAGTGTTACATTTGGGGGATCAAAAAAAATCTCAAAACAATAACAGTTTTACCCCAAACCACCTATTTGTAGCTCAAAATTTTTTTTCCTGATGAGTCTAAAATAGATCTCACTTTGCTCTAAACTCAGCCTATGTTTACTTTAAACTTGGAGTGGGTTTGCTCAAAGCTCAGACCAAATTCACCGAAGGATTTGCAAATCTTTTGGCAAACTTAGTCCAAAGTTTGAATTTGTAACAAAACCCACTAGCAGGTAAGGAGGCGAGAATAGCAGGGGACCTGTCGACGTTTACAGAGTGTTCCTTTAGAAGGGTACATATCACAGTTGAGACTTTACGGGCCATATTTTCAACTGGCTTCAAACCAGCCTCCACATTTTTTTTGCATATAACACCATATTTGAATGCAGACACAGGCATATGTGAGCACCACTTGATTTGTTAAATGCACAAATGTCCACACCACAGTGGAGATAGAGACAAACTCTCAGATATGGTTTTTGAGCACACAAACAGGTGAGCATGGAACATTTCAGGTTCAGGGGCCCTGAAAATGTTGCATTATCTATTTTAAACAAAGACCTGTGATGGAGAACAATTTAAAAAACCTTGCTGCTATGCTTATGAAATATTTTAGCCATATAGATGTATTGCAATACATATCTCCTGATCCTCAGCTAGTCTAAGGGTATGTCTACACTAAAGCTGGAAGAGTGACTAAGGTAGTCCACTAGAAATAGATGCATAACCACAGTGGTGCAAGCAGAGGGAGAAGATAGCGGCCCCAAACATGGTTCCATCTGAGATCATAGGTACTGACAAAAAAAAAAAAAAGTGTGCTCTTAACTCAGGTTACCTAACCCATGTTAGCTAACTCAGGTTGGAATAGCAGTGAAGACATGGCAACTCGGTTTTTAACTCAGACTTGAGTTAAAGCCTACAGGGGAGGCTGAGTGTAGCTAACCCAAGTTAGGAATGCACTTTTTTTGCAATGTAGACATACCCTAAGGCCCTGTTATGCTATGCTCTGCTCTGGCAGTATAAATAGGCTGTAGTGCTACTGAGAATGAGGGCCACAGAATTTAATATTACAGTTAAGGTTCTTTTGTTTAGCAACTATTATCCCACCTCTTCCAAGTAACATCACAAGAGGAACATATGCACCCTTTAACTCCTGTTGTGAGTTTATTAGTTGACATGTGCATGTATTTTTAAAACATTTGAGTAGCTTTAGTTTTAAAATCAGCAATACATTTTATATTGGGCAAACTTCAAATTGAAATAAGGGGAGTTACATCAGAGATGAACTTGGCCTATTCTTAAAATTATTAATCTTGGTCAATCTGCTGAAGTTTGTTCTTAGTCCTTGTTCAGGCAAAACTCTCATTGATTTATAGAACTGAGTAAAATAATAATTAATAATAATGAGGATCTCCTTGTGCTGTGTCTGATTAAAATGGTATTAACTTTTATTTTTTGACCCGTTGCTAATTGACCACAGTTGCAATGTGAGATTTCTTGGCTGGTTGCATAGATATTAATGTGTTGGGGTTTATAATTATATTGTAAATTACTTTTGCTGTAACATCCAGCCTATGCACTGGAATATTTGAAGACTGCGGTTTTCAATGAGGTGCAGCTGTTCTTACAAGGATATGATTTTCATTGCTATCACTTTTCTGTCGGGTGCTCTGTCTGTAATAAGATTCTCCTGCAACTTCCCAGGCTGTTAACAATATGCTGAGGTCTAAAGAGTCAGCCTAGCACTTTGATCCAAGATGCATATTTTGATCTGTTTGTCAATGATATCAAGAAAGAGAAAATAAATCTACAGTACTACAGTCTGCTTTGACACTAGCATCCTGTCAGTAGATTTGGACTGGCTGAGAGGACTTCAGATAAATGCCGCGAGAGCCCCCAAAACCTGCCTAGCCACATTTCTCTTTTTGTCCTTATGTGTGTGTTTGAGGGGCAGTGATATAGTAGTAGATAATGCTAGGTGGTTTGAGATAAGCAGTTCCAACAAATCAGCGTGCTTGGCATGGTGATCAGATGAACATTTCATGGAGCCCTTTTCTAATTGCTTGCTATCGAGCAGAAAGTACAGAAGGGAATTATCGAACAATTAATCTTTGCAAATGTTAGACTCTCCCCACACAGGCCCTGATTCAGCAGGTTACTTAAGCACATGCCTAACTTTAAGCAAGTGAGTAGTCCTATTCCCTCTGATGGGACCAATCCCATGCTTAAGTACCTTGCTGAACTGGGGCCTCAACGGGTGCATCTGCACAGCATTTGGGAGTGAGCCTCTCAGTCCGATATCCTGGGGCTAGTGTGGCTCATGCTAGTGCTCTCAAAATAGCTGTATAGAGAGCACTTTGAGGTTGCGATTTGGGCTGGAGCTCTGAAGCCAAATGAGAGGGGTGGGATTGGGAGCCCATGCTCCAGACCAAGCCACAACTTCAAAGCACTGTCTATACAGTTATTTTTAGAACATTAGTCCTTCTCACCCCAATCTATCAGCCCAGGCTAGGAGGCTTGTTCCAAAATGTTGTGTACACAAACCCAGTTTGGGTGTCAAACTCAATCCTTGCACTTGAGTTTGCAGAGGCATGGAGCCTAATCCAAAGTCTGTTGACATTAATGGAAAGACTCTCCATAGACATCAGTAGGCTTTGAATCAAGTCCTGAGAGCAGTACAGAAGCAACATGCTCAGCTTGGGAGGAGGGGTTTCACATGGCACACACCAATCCGTATAATTGTCTCAGGGGTCAATGGTGTCAGTCATCAGAGGATGTTATATTCAGGTGGCCTTAGGCATATCTTGTGCTTGTCACAACACAGAGTCAGGAGACTGCAGTTCTATTCCTGGTTCTGCTAAAGATTTTTTTGGATTTACTCAATGATTTTTGTATCCTTTGCTTTTTTTTTCCTTTGGGGAAGGGGTGGGGAGGAAGTAGTCGTAATATGTTTTAAATGGTATTGTTTAGAAACTGGCATTATTTCTAATGTGTGAAAATATGGTTAGATGTATTGGGCTAAATTTTCCAAATTCCCTTTAAAAATGTGTGCATAAAATTTACCACTTTTGTCTGCATATGCAAAACTCCACAGATGTGTACAATCTGCTGTTTACATTGCACTTTCCTGAAAGTGACTTTGCAAAATTGGTACATTTGTATTTCTTTAAAAAAATCCAACCTTAGTTTAAAAAGGGGAGTGGGGGGAAAGCAGCTCTCAGAGGATGCATTACGTTTTAAGAGCACCCCTGCAAGATACTGGCTTTTATTTTATAACTATACCCTTAGAATACTAAGATTTACACCCCTCATTAATGTAATTTATAAGACAAGATGACAAGAATTTTAAAAGGTCTGTAGCCCATCCAGTCAGTAACATCCAGGCAGTTCAGGTTTGACCAGCCTGATCTTGTCAAGTCAAGAAAACAAAAATCAATCAATAAATAGCAGGAGTGAGAGTACTTAAAATGAAAAAGAGAGAGTTCATTTCCTGGTAAGGGAGAGGGGCCAGGCAAGCAGCTGCCATTTTGCATTGCAGAGAAAATACCACTAGGAAGTGAATTCTTGGTATTATTTCCTATTGAAACACTCTGAGAATTCTCCCTCTTGGTCTTTTATGGTAGATTGATGAGAAGCATGATAGGAAATGCTTGGAAATGGCTTGTTCAGAGACCGATCCAGGTCAAAGCAAGCCTGACCCTGATATGAGCCCAAGAGTCACATTTCCATCTTGCTACCGCCAATAATAACCCACACAGGTATTAACTTTCATTTTTAAGTGACCTTCTATGCTTAGAGCTACTACTTAGAATAAAATTAGTCAACATAATCACACATTTTCCACTTTTTTACTGAGAAGGCAAAATATCAAAAGCATAAGCCTAAGCTAAAGGAAGGAAAGTTGTTTGCCAGTCTGAGCAAGAGACTGGAGCGTCAGCGTTATGGATTTCTTTCCTGGCTCTGCCATTGACTTTCTGGGTGGCCTTGAGCATGAACTGACAGACACCCTTTTAAAAATTGGTCTCTAATTTGAGTATTTTAGAAAGCTAGTGCCTGATTCTCGGAGCATCCATAGTTCCCAATAACATCATTAAGTTTTCAAATGAGTCCATTAATTTTGGTTAGCTTAGTTTTTGGGGACCCAGTTGGAGACAACTAAAGTGGATTTTCAAAAGTACTTGGTATTGGCCTAACTCTCCTCCCACTGAATTTCACCATTGACATAATTAGGAGCAGAGTCAACGACCAATCCTGAGGACCTTTGAAAATCCCAACTTTACCGTGAAGGACCAGATTTTCCGCGTTACATAATACAACAGGATTGTCAATAAAATGAACGCCCAAAACTCAGGGAGGCGGGGCTTGTGCACACATCCCTCCCTGCCTCTTTCTCCTCTTTTTGCCTTTTCCTTCCTTTTCACACAA